GTCTTGGATGTACTTGTCACCATAACTCATTTTGGTGTGATTCTTTTTTTTTTTTGTATGATTGCTCATTCTTTCAACCTTACTTCTTGACTTTGGACTTCATGTTAGAATTAGGGTCAGGGCCAGAGTCACATAATTGCTGCTTGCTTTCATGCTTGATCTTTGCCCAGCACATAGCCTAGGACCTGGGACTGCTCATTGCCCTGGACCTCAAGACTATTTGCCACCTCTAGGTATAGTTCCCCTCCTTAGTCCATACTGTATCTGTGACCCAGCATTGGTTAAGGAATGCCAGAGCTGCCAGTGGGCATCTGTTCCTGCTCCATACACAGGATCAACCCCCTCTGTGCCAGATCTGAGACTTCTTCTTGCTCAACTATACCGTCTCCTGTGGGGTCTGCTCACTGTGATTATTCCCTATTTCTGGCTAGACTTTGTCCCCAGTGTCTGCAGACCTCTCTGTCTCCCTATGCTCACTTGGCTTAAAAAAAATTACTCACTGTGATTTTTTTTTCTTAGATTTCTCAATTAAAACTTAGTCTGGTCTTCAAGACCTTTATGGAATACTTGTGAGGGGAGAGTTCATGTGTACCTCTTCCTGCTACTCTGCCATCGTGGCTAGTCTCCATCATGATTCTTTCTTCATCAATGGAATCATGGTACTGTTGAAGCATCATAAAAATGACAGATATTTGGTATTAACTTAAGAAAATATACATGAGACCTTTATAAAAATAATTTTAAGCTATTAGGAGAGAAATAAAAAGCAAGCGATTAGAGCAAAACCCTTACACAGGGAGAAGGCACAGGAACATAGTAAAAATGTCACGATAAACCAAATTATTCAATAAATTTGATGCAATGTCAATTAGAATATTAATGAGCTTTATGCAAGTGTTTAAAATAATGAAATTTATATAAACAGGTAAGATTATCAAGAGATATTCTGGGGGGATAGGGGTGGGGAAGACTAATGAAAAAGTACTTACTTTGCCAGACATTAAAGCACATCATAAACCATTAATTATCAAAAATATAGTAATTAGCCCCCCAAACCCCAGAAAAGTAGACCAGTGTAATTGAAACCCTTGTGTCAGGAGAGCTCTCTTGATGTTAAGGCCCAGGTGCACTTAGAGGGCCTCTCCTTTCTCTGTCTGGCTCATTGCCCACAACCAGATTATCTCCGAACTTTAGTTATCTGACACTCCTCCAAGGATAGTTCCAATTACCCAGATTAGAACATGAATAGTTTCACTTATAAGTTAATGGAAACTGACATAATTCAACTGAGCCTATAAAAGGTAATAATGCTCATCATTGAGTAACATTGTCTCTAAAGAATGGTACAACTTACAACATTGCCCTGGATAAGGAAGAGGGGGTAGATAAGGATTTGCCCCCCTAAACTGGTGTTCCCCTCTATCTATAAGGTAGTGCTTACTGCTTAAAGCACCCACTGCTCCCCTGTCACTGCTCCTCCTTGGTCCCCTCTTTCCTGAAGCTATCTATCCTCAGCAACCATCAAGTAGTAGTTGACAGGCCATCTTGTTTTCTGCATCTCCATTTCTTGTAGGTCTCCATGGAGCTGTCTTCAACTATCCTTCCTAAAGTTCTCCGCTCTTGTTTTGGAAACTTTCTTTCACTCCCAGGAGGTGGTTATTTTGCTGTTAAAGAGGTTGCTGCCGTCTGAAATTCTGTTTTCCACCCTTGCCTCCCCCAGATGGGGGCACTACCTTTCCAGGGGCGCAGTTCTCTAACAATGCCCCATGTCGGGGAAAAAAAAAAACATTAGTTGTCCTTACAAAGACATAACTTCTTTTTTTAATACTAATTTATTTTGCTTTATCAATAATCGCTTCCATATGCTTTTGAGTTTAGAATTTTTCTCCCCCTTCCTCCCTACCACCCTCCCCAAGACGATGCGCAATCTGATATAGGCTATACATTTACATTCATATTAAACATATTTTCACATTAGTGATGTTGTAAGTAAAAATTAAAACCAATAGGAGGAACCATCAGAAAGAGGAAACAAAACTGAACAGAAGAGAAGAAAGAAAAAAAATAGCAATTCAACTTCCATAGTTCTTTCTTTGGAAAAGACATAACTTCTTGATTCTTTTGTAAAAATAAAATGAAGTTTTATTGGTTTTTCATTTTTATGTCACAGTCATTTCTGGATATCCCTTTCCCTTTTAACAAAAGAAAATAACTAAACAAAAATAAGGCCGGTGAATAGTGACCATCTCCTGGACAATTACTGACTTTCAGAATTAATCTTCCTTTTAGTAAGACCTTAAGCTTTTTTTTTTTTTTTTTTTTTTTTTTTTTACAAACACACACACAGTCGCTTTAGCCCTATACCTCACCAAAGGCTTTGCAGGGACTAGTCACTAGGGTAATACAATGCATATTACAAGGCATTCTCTGTCTCCAACACTATGTAGGCTCACAGTGACATTATTTTTTATTTCCTCTATCCTCCAGCATCTGGACAGTGCATTTCCTTCTCATATCTGTACTTTACGCTGGGGCTTAGGAGAATCATCCTGCTCTATACCTAATGGCTCCTCCACCTTCTGCTTTCCCCTGGGCTAGGTGGGCCTATTCAAATTAGACTGTGTTCTCAAAATATCTCAAAAAGGGAGGTGAGATGTCACTGGCTCTTTCTGATGCAGGCACTCATGCAATAAAAAGTGAGATTTATGAAGTCCTTGGTATATAATAGAATTGTGATCCAATAGACAGAACTAAATGCATACAAAAGGTTAGTGAGTGGAGCCTTTGTGTCAGAGGCTTTCGCATGACACATAGGGCTTGGACACACTTTGAAGCATTTCTCAGATCTCTGGCTCATTTCTTCCACTCAGAAAAACAGGGAAGTTGACTAAATGGCACTACATAGTGTTGTATTATCACCTTTGTAAGCACACATTTCATAAAGTTTAAATAAGAAAAAAGTTATTTACAAGTCAAAGAAAACAGAACTTTTATAAGAACTCATGGAAAATAGTGACTCCCAGCAATAAATAAGTAATACTTCCCTAGAGACCTGTATAACCTTACTGACATAAAGGAAATAGTTAAAAAAGTTGTTAGTGTTCAATTTTTTTATTTGGAAAAAGTATTGAATTAAAAAATTTTTAACTGTTGAATGTTGTTTTACATTAGTTTGTTGTGTTAAGTTTAAAAATAAAATTAGGCCGGAGAAGATAAAGCACAGTGGGGAGAAACCAAAAAAGGACTGGAAGAGAAAGAGTTAACAAATATTCTCTGAGTTCATATCCTTGGCCACCAGTTGAAACACCACACCCAAGCAGTGATTTCCTACCAGATTTAAGCCTTGTTTAGACCTTAAATTTTGTATGAATAATTTTTTGGACATATTTCCATAATAAGTCTAAAATAGTTGACATCATTCCCTGGCAGCAGCAACTGGAGGCATAACCCCTGACTATGAAAAGAAACATTCCCTAGAGATTTAAGCCTCTCTAAGGTCAGGGCGAAGTTGAAGTCCACACAAAATAGAAGATTCTTTAATTGCTGCTTATGTTAGAAAGGTTTTAGGACAGAAAAGTAATTTCCATTGAGCAAGGGATTTTCTTCTTGACTATAGGTTAGTATCCTTCACTCCAATTTGCCCATGTGTGTCCATATTTTTTCCCCAATTGAATGTGCCTCCTTGAGACCAGCCGACTGTTTTACTTCTGTTCTTTTTCACCTAGCACCAAGCATATTGCCTGGACACACAATAGACATTTAACAAATGTCTGTTGCTTGCTAATTAATATGTGTAAGATGCTTTGTAAGTTGTAAAGTGCTGTGTAAATATTGAATGTTATCCACAATTAACTGTAATGAAGTCCTGGATTCAAATCTATAAGAATGTAGGCCTCTTCTTGAGATTGGGACTTCTTTTTTGTTTTTGTATCCCTAGTGATGCCTCACTTACTGGCTGTTTGACCCTGGGCAAGTCACTTAACCCTGTTTGTCTCAGTTTTCTCATCTATAAAATGAGCTGAAGAAGGAAATGACAAACCACTCCAGTATCTTTGCCAAGAAAACCCCAATTAGGGTCATAAATAGTCAGACACGACTGAAACAATTGAACAACAATCGCTAGTGACTAGGGTGGTACTTTGCTTACACAAAGTTCTTTTTTTTTTTCCTCTTCCTGGCCCCATTTGGGGTTCTTCTGGCAAAGATATTGGAGTGGTTTGCCATTTTCTTCTCCAGCTCATTTTACAGGTGAGGAAACTGAGGCAAACAGTGTGACTTGCTTGGGGTCACACAGAAAGTGTCTGAGACTACATTTGAACTCAGGTCCTCCTGATTCCCGGCTTAGCACTCTGTCACTTCACCACCTAGTTGCCCTAGCAAAGGTTTTAAATAAATGTTTATTGAATTTGATTGAAACTGGAATTTGTATAACCCTCCTCAAGTCACTCAATTCCTAAGCCTCAGTTTCCCCAGCTTGTGCTACTTATCTCAAAGGGGAGTTGTGAGGGAAGTGTTTTGCAAATCTTAAAAGTGTTACATAAACATACTTTATTACTTAAATGTCTAAACTACCTTTTCTTGGATCAAGTTAGGGTTAAGAAGTCCTAGGTTAGAATCCGGCTTCAAACTCATACTACCTGTGTGACCCTGAGTGAGTCATTTAACCTCACAATGCCTCAGTTTATTCATCTGTAAAATGGGGGGGGGGGAGAATGGATTCCATATCCTCTAAATTCTAAACTCCTACAGTTTTCTAAACTTCCGACCTCACGCTAGTTGTGGGACCTTGGGTGAGTCATTTAACCTCACTGTGCCTCAGTTTCCTCATCTGTAAAATGAGGGGGGAGGGGCCTCCATTATATCTACAATCCCTTCCAATTCTAAACTTCTGATTCCAGGGACAAGTCACGCCAGGCTTTCACGAGACTACAATTCCCATGAGGCTCCGCAATCGAAAAGCACGTATGCGCACGCACTCGCGAGGACGGCGGGAGGGGGCACGAGCCCTTGCGAGTAGCCGGGTGAGACTTGGTACAGCTGCTGACGAGTGGCTCTGGCGGTGGGGTCTGAGCGGAGCGCTGGGGCCTGGAGACCTAGTAAGTGCGCGGTGGCGGCGACGACTGGCAGCCCTCGCGGGCGTCAGGTAAGCGCCCCCCAGGACTGTCCAGGAAGTCGGTCTGCCCCGAGAATGCGGGCCGGGTTGTGGGACCGGCCATAGTGGCTGAGGAGGGAGCGGCTCTTGCCTTGCCTCGCCTTCGCCCCCGGCCTCCTCCTCCCCTCTCGGGCTCCTCCGCCGCGGGCTGAGGGGAGCAGCCGGCTGGCTTTCGGGGGGCGCATCCGGCGGGCGCGAGAGGAAGTGGGGCCGGCTGGGCGTTGGCCGCGCGCCTTGGTGCGGGGCGCAGGAGAGCCTGGGGCTGCGCTCGGGATGCCGCAGGTATGGGCTGCTGCGGCGGCTCGCGGGAGGCAGCGCCCGGACCGGCCCGGCCCTGCGGACGTGCTGTGCTCGGGGCTCTGGCCGCCGGCTCCCCGCGCTCCTGCCCGCAGCTTCGGCTCGGGAAGGAGCCGGGCACGCCCCTCCTCCGGCGATCTGGGCGGGACTGGCCTTCGGGAGGCTCTACAGAATTGCCCGGACAAATCCAGCTGTCACAGCCGGCTTATCCTTCGGGTTTTGCCATTGCATTTAAAGTATCGAGTGTGTTGTACTGAAAGGAAATTCCTTATTCCCATCCCGCCCAAGTGGGCATGCACCGTGCAGCCCAGTGTGCAGGTATCTGCGGGACAGGATGACGTCACGGGGCGTTTGCCTTGCAGAAGTTGGAGTTTTCCTTTTTAAAAAAAAATCCAGTTTTACAGGCAGGATACAAAACTGCCTTGGTTTATTGTTCTGTAAAGGATAACTTTTCCAACTTGCCTTTGGTGTCTCTTAAAGCGAAAAGTCTTCTGGTATTGAATTACGGTAAAACGAATCCCAGAAGGTCATAACTTCAACAGGAAATAAGCGTGTTGATAGGAGATTAGTGCAGAGACTTGGTTGTTTGGATAACAAATGGTTACAATGGACCCTTTTCCCCTTTGCTCCCAGGAGAGAGTGTGTAGTTCGTGTTTCTACCTTTATCTAGGAATCCCTAGATACATCAGCTTTCGGTGGTTTTAATTAATTACTGGGCCTTCCCAATTTATGTTTGACCTGAAAAAAAAAATAGCCTTGGAATCACTCATTTATCACTGCTAGTCATTCTTCCACCTCCTTACCTTTATAGCTAGGCTAAGCGACTAAACATTTTATTATAGGATTCAGCATTCCATTTCCAGTAGGCCAAAAGCCCAAGCAAAAGGGAATAATAGAGAAGAGAGTCAAAGCATACCAAAATCTCCTTTGGCTTGCTGTCTGAACTTGGTTGGCCTTATTTTCTTCATTCCTGTAGAATGTGAGCTCCTTGAGGACAGGAAATGTCTTTCTCCTTACTACCTTTTGTAGTCAACAGGTATTTACTAGTGCCTACTATAGGTACCAAGCCATGTGCTAATTGCCAGAGATAAAAAGAAAGGCAAAACAAGCAAACAAAAACAGTACCTTGTATATAGTAGGAATTAATAAATTCGTATTGAATTCAATTGTTTTAAAATGGGGAGAGGACTGGCCTAAGGTCCCTTCCTGTTTTTAAAGCCTTTGAGTCTATTATTTTCCTTTCATTCCGGGTCACACAAATATAGGGTGTCTCAAATGTTTTAGTGCAATTTCAAGCTTTGAGAGTTTAAAACTGCACTAAGACTTTTGTATAGTATAATACTCTAGCATTTACAAAGTGTTTTCCACACTATGACTCTGAGGTTGTTAGTGCTGCAAGGACTATTAACCAAGTTTTACAGATGGGGAAATTAAAACTCAGAAAGGTGAAATGTCTTCCGACTTCAAATCCACTGCTTTTTCCGCTATCCCATGCTCCCTTTCCCTGCCTAATTTCCTTTAGTCTTGTGTTATTGTTCAGTCATGTTCATGACCCCATTTGAGGTTTTCTTGGCAAAGATACTGGAGTGGTTTGTCATGTCCTTTTCCAACTCATTTTACAAATGAGGAAACCGAGGCAAACAAGGTTAAGTGACTTACCCTGGATCACACAGCTTAAGTGTCTTGCAGCCAGCTTTGAACTCAGGAAGATGAGTCTTCCTGACTCCAGGCCCAGCACTCTCTCCACTTTGCCAACTAACTGCCCTTAGTTTTATACACCTATTCCTTCAGTTTATGAAAGGGATTTAGAAACAGTTCATTAGAATGTTCATAATTTCTTGCGTCAAATACCACTCATTCTTATCTGATTCTTTTCTCAGATAGGAAATATGGCATGAAATAGTTTTTTACAATTTCACTAGAGCAAGTTTGGGGGGTGGGGAAGATAATGAGTTTGGATAGGTTGTTTTTGAGATGGTGATAGGATATCCAGGTGCAGGTACCTAGCAAGCATTGGTACTTCAGACGTGGAGTTTAGGAGAGATTAGGGCTGGACTAAAGGGAGGTTTCCTTTGACTTTGTCAAGATTGTCAGAAGCCAAGAGGCAGTAAGATCCATTTTCTTTTCCAAATGAGGATTAGGCCAGTTTGGTTGCCATCCTCACAGACTGTATCTTAAGAACATAAATTTAGATCTGGAATGAGCCATAAAATTCATCAAGTCCAAATCCCCTTATTTTACAAATGGGAAAACTGAGAGAGGTGTAATGATTTGTTAAAGGTCACATAGATAATAAGTGGCAGACTTAGGATTTGAACCTTGGTCTCTTGACTCCAAATCCTGCATTCTTTCCCTTTCATCACATTCTTCCACAGTCCTCCTGTGTTAAACCTAGCCTTCAAATTGGGAGAGAGAGAGAGAGAAGAGGGGTCATAGTGTGTTGTGAGACAATCAAGTCAACAAGCATTTATTAAGTGCCTTCTATGTGCCAGGCACTATGCTAAGTGCTAGGAATACAAAGGATGTGGGGGGATCCCAAAACAAAAACCTAGCCCATCGTCTCAAAGAGCTCACAGTCAAATGAAGACAACTGTCAAACAACTATGTACAAACAAGATATACTCAAGACAAATTGGAGATAATCTTAGAAGGCACTGGCATTTAAGGTAAGGTAATGTTGATGGTTTGGGGTAAGGAGTACTAGAGAATATATCCCTTTTCCTGGGGAAATTACTTTTCTATCTTAATGCCTCTGAACTATGTCCAGAGGAGGGCATCCAGTAGTGGGGTAGGGAAGTGAACCTGCCATATCAGGAATAGTATTAGGACTGTTTAGCCTGGTGAACAGAAGACAATAGGAGAACAGAAGACATAAGATATGATAGTAAATTTCAGTTCGGTAGAAGAAAAGGTTTCCTGACTATTAGAGCTTTCCAAAAGTGTAATGGTTCCCCTTAAGAATTAGTTTCCCATTAGGTAGAGTCTCAGTGATTCATTTGTTGGGATTGTTAAAGAGGAGGGATTGTGTCATGGACCCTTTGACAGTCTGGTGAAGCCTGTAGAACCATTCTCAGAACAATGCTGCCTACATTCATAATTGAAGGAAATGCTAAATTTCAGTTAGAGCTCAGTGAAAATAAAGATGCAATTTTTTTTTCTCATCCAAGTTTACATACCCCTCTGAAATCTGTCACTAGACTCCATACTAAGAGCCCCTCTTGTAGAGAGCATTGGTGGGTTGGAGTAGATGACTTGAGGTTTTTCCCAACTGTTAGAGACATAGAGGAGATGGAGAAAGAAGAAAGAGATTCCTCTTGGCATCTTTCAAGGCCCAACCAAAAATTCTACCTTCTACAGGAAGCTTTTCACAGCCCCCTCTTAATTCTAGTGCCTTCCCTCTGTTAATTATTTCCTATTTATTCTGAATGTAGCTTGTTTATACATATTTGTGTGCTAGTTGTTTCCCCATTAGATTGTGAGCTCCTTAAGGGCAGGGACTGTCTTTTCCTTTTTTTTTTTTTGTATCACCAGCACTTAGCACAGTGCCTGGCCTGTGGTAGGTGCTGAACAAATGCTTGTTGACTAAGTGGGTATAATGGAAAGGATTCTGCACTTAAAGTCAGAAGAGACCTACACTGTAATCTCACTTTTACTTTTTAGTTGTGTGCCATGAGCAAGACCCTTTCCCTAAGCCTGTTACCCCATCTGGAAAAATAAAAACTATAGTAGTCCCTACCTTATGGGGTTGCCATGAAGATCAAATGAGATATTATATCTATAAAACATTTATAAACCTAATTGTTAGGTAAACGTCAGTCATGATTTAACAAAGAGGCAGAGGGAAGACTAGAGTGAAGGACACAGGACAAGGAAAGAGTGAGAACGTGGATGACAAAAGGATTCTTAGGTTCAGAAATGAGCGTTAGTGGAAAATAAACTGTTTTTGTCAGAACTTTCCTTGTCATTTCTTGATTTAGCTCTTCCCTATTTCTTCTCACCTACTTATTACGATTTTTTTGATCTGGATTCCTTACACCAAGAGTATAAGGCAGAATGAAAGGGAGATATGAGAGCTACTAAGGAGCTCTTTTGATCCACTGATGATCCACTGTACACAGCATGACAAATACCATATTAGGAAAATGTGAAGAATTAAAATTTTCTTTTGATAAAAATAACAACTAGCATTTATGTCATGCTTTAGCATTTGTAGAGCTCTGTCCTTTTGGTCTCACTCTAATTGTGTGAGGTAGATACTATTGGTATTAATATCCCCATTTTACAGATGAGGAAACTGAGATTAGAGAAGATAAGTGACTTGCCTGTAGACAGCCAGCATGTCAAGCAGGTTTCAAACCCAGGTCTGCCTGACTCTAAGGCCAGAACTATACTCATAAATAAAATATTTTATGAAACAATTTATCTGTAGTCAATTTGATTCTTTTATAATAATGTAGGGGAATAGAAGAATTATAGAAGATCCCAGAATCATTTATATTTGACTGTTATATCAGGAAACATGTTTAAAGTTCTGGAAATTCACCTTAAACAGCAACAAAAAAAGAAGCCTCTTTAGAAAGTAGAGTTAGAGCCTTCCATGGGAATTATAATCTAGACAATGCTTGTTCTTCTTACTAAATTATAAACTTTCTGAACCCCTATTCCATGCTGGAAATAGACTGAGACTGATTTAA